AGGCCCATATCAAACCTGCCATTTCTAGGTAAAATCATTGAAAATGTTGTTTTTCAACAGTTGAGTAACTTCTTGCATTTAAATAACTGTTTCGATGTGTTCCAGTCAGGCTTTCGTCCAAACCACAGCACTGAGACTGCTCTTGTAAAGGTCTTCAATGACATCCACTTAAACACAGACAGTGGCAGAACTTCAGTGTTAGTATTATTAGATCTCAGTGCTGCGTTTGACACTGTTGACCACAACATATTACTCAACCGACTGGAAAACTGGGTGGGACTTTCGGAAACAGTTCTACATTGGTTTTAATCCTATTTAAAGGACAGAAACAACTTTGTTTCTATAGGTAAATACACATCTGAGTTGACAAATATAACATGTGGGGTACCTCAAGGCTCCATCTTAGGGGCCTCTTCTCTTTAACATCTACATGCTACCACTGGCTCAGATAATGAAAACAACAAAATAAGTTACCATAACTATGCGGATGACACACAAATGTACGTAACAATTTCACCAGGAGACTATGCTCCAATTTAAACACTGAGTAAGTGCATTGAACAAATCAATGACTGGATGTGTCAGAACTTTCTTCAATTAAAAAAAGATAAAACTGAGGTAATGGTTTTTGGAGCCAAGGCAGAACGTATAAAAGTTAGCGCTGAGCTTCAGTCTGCAATGTTCAAAACAACAGATAAAGCCAGACATCTAGGTGTAGTCATGGACTCTGACCTGAGTTTCAACAGTCACATTAAAACAGTTACTAAATCAGCTTACTATCACCTAAAGAACATATCTAGGATTAAAAGACTAATGTCACAGCAGGATTCGGAAAAACTTGTCCTTGCTTTTATCTTCAGTAGACTCGACTACTGTAATGGTGTCTTTGCAGGTCTCACTAAAAAACCTATTAAAAAGCTGCAGCTGATTCAGAACGCCGCTGCTGGAGTCCTCACAAACACTAAGAAAGTGGATCACATCACTCCAGTTCTGAAGTCTTTACACTGGCTTCCTGTGTGTCAAAGAATAGATTTCAAAATACTGCTGCTGGTTTATAAAGCACTGAATGGTTTAGGCCCAAAATACATTTCTGACCTACAGCTAAATTATGAACCATCCAGATCTCTCAGGTCTTCTGGGACTGGTCAGCTTTCTGTCCCCAGAGTCAGAACTAAACATGGTAAAGCAGCGTTTAGTTATTGTGCTCTAATTGAACTATTCACATCTTAGACTGCACTGTAACTTTTATCCATGTATTTTTTCTTTTAATGTTTATTTTATTATCTTTTCTTTTTAATGACTGATTTTAAATGC